TTCTAAATAATGATATTTTGTTATTCTTTGAACGGATTAGTACCTAATTTGTTATTTATTGCTTTTATTAGGAAAAGTTCATGTTTCAAAGAAGAATTGAAAAAAAAAGAACGGAAAATGGCTAAAATGAAGCAAATCCAAAGTATGGGGACCAAAGTATAAATATCTAATGATTGATTTGGACCACATAAGATGCTTTGAAGATTGATAGGAGTCAATTAAATGCAGATTGGAGTCAAAAAGGAAAGGGATATGATCAGAGTATTACCATAAATCGACATCCAATCTTATAAGATATCTTCAAGATTTTTGGTTAACTTGAGACCCATTTTTCGGATGGTGAATTGAAGAAATTGTATTTCTATAAGAATTGTAACTCTTTTAACTAGCTTTCCAATGCACTTTAAATCACCTAAATTCGACACTGAAAGAGAAAATTATGACCAAAATACTGAAAACTGTGCAAAGACAAAATTATGTGCGCGCGAAGACAACTTTCCTTATTTGATTCAAACTCTTTTGGAAGAAAATTTGGACGTGAATTTTAACCTAATTTCATCATATAAATACAAGATATGGGCAGCAATGAAAGGGTCTCTCTCTTGCCTCCTCATACACAATAGTTTCATTAAATTCATCAAGAAAAAGGGGCCAATTACTATATTTTGAGAGAAAAGATCAACGTATAGCGAGGAATTGTAGTTCAATTACATCAAAATTTTGAAGAATTCAACTTTGGACTTGAAGATCAACATCTTTTGTATTCTTTCATGATCCGGGTGATATTTTTCTAGTATTCTTCTTGTAATTTATATATTAATATGCTAGGCTAGTTTCTTATTATATTGGATGAATGATGAACCCTATTATTTATTTATTTTAATTCAAGACAATTAATTTAGTACTTCATGATTTTTTTCTTGATTGATTTTGCATTCCCATTGAACTATTTAATCACTCGATCACCAATTAGATAGTAAGTTACTTGTTGTAGTGTAGAAATACTCACAATAAGTCTGTAACGCGGTAAAATCAACACATGGACAATAGGTGTTAGGAATAATATATATGGTAAGTGTAGTCATGTGTGATAAATCCTGTGAATCAATGCATATTTTTCATATGAATTCGGACAGGGAATAGGATTGGGTCATGTTAAACATAGGTTTAATATATCTTGGGAAAGAATATTAAATAAAAGTGGATTATCGATTGTCTTGAATGCATGAATTTACTAAATTATAAATTAGAGTTGAATTAAATGACAATAGAGGGGCTCACGATTCCAATACAAATATTCACATATTATATAAATATTTTATTTGCTTTCTTAGTTTAAGATTAGCATAGAAAACATACAAATCACAACTTTTTTGATTTTATATTACTTCGAATTTAGTAAAAGCTACTTAACTAAATATTAGACCTTATTCCTCGTGCGAACAATACTCTTAACTCACAAATCTTATTACTTGTACAACGATCCCGTATGTTTGTGGGTTTCACGTGAATACGTATATAGTTGATTCTTAATCTTAGTCCATCAAACATGTGTGGGAATGATTTACGAAAGTCTAGATCCGAGGATTACAATTGAAATTTGATTAATCTTCCTTGTTAAATCATCCGATCAGAGAGTTGGGATGAAAACCTCTAAGTGAGTAAAAAACCATGAATTATTGTTGTTGATGATCCAATCCAATTGAGGAAATTCAGACGCTTCACTAATCTCGCATATTGATATAAATCTCATTCCAATTGACATTATTTTCACATAATTCACGAAATCCTAGATCGATAAATCCTTTAAACAATTCGTCCATCTTGTTATAGAATCGACACCCTAAAGTTAAGCTACAACTACCGTGTTATTCTTTGGGCGTAATCACATTACCTTGTTGAGGTCAATACTTTCTTCCATACCACTACATCTTCTTTAGATCATGCAGCCCCTGAAGGCTATCCTGAAAAAAACTTGAAAGCATCTTTGTAAGATCACTATGGGATTCTAAGTATCAGGCGCGACGTTTATATTGGAGGAAATGGAAGGAAATTTGCCTTCCTACTAATGAGGGTGGTCTGGGCTTCAGGAGATTTTAAGATGTGGTGGATTCTTTCTCCATGAAGCTCTTGTAGTTGTTCCGCTTTTAGAGATCGCTTTGGGCCTAGTTCTTACTGGGCAAGTATTGCATGAAAACACACCCTTCACTCGTAGGAGTTTCCCAGTCAGCTTCTCCCACCTAAAAGAGGTTAAAATCAGTATGGCCATGGGCAGAGCCACACATTGCCAAGCACTTTGGAGCCAGTCAGATTTTCATTTGGCATGATTGCTGGATGGGCAAGTCCACGTGGCATCCCTATTCCCACACAGGCAGCACACATCTGTGATGTAATAGGATTTTCTTGACGACACTAGATGGGATTTTGGTCGATTATTACAAGTTCTTCCTCCTCACAAGGCAGAACATATAGGATTAATACCTCTAGATGCAGATTTCCTGGACCTCATTATTTGGAGGGCCACATCGGATGACAGCTTTGCTACCAAATCAGCATGGCAGCTAGTTCGTTCAGCTCGCCAATCTCAAGACTTGTATCGATTGCTGTGGAGCTCCATCTTGCCTACCATTGTCTCATTTTTTTGTTGGAGACTGTGGTAGGATCTCATCCTATAGATATGGTTATTCAGAGGAAGATTGGGTGTCAGCTGGCCTATCGCTGTCGAACTGCTCTGAGATTGAGACCACTAGTCATATCTTCACTGGCATCAACATCTATGATCAAGTATGGCAGCAGTTTGGGGATATTTTTCAGATTCCTATAAGAACAAGAGAGGGGGTTGGACAGAGGTTCCAAAAATGGAGGTATTCTGGATAGTACGTTCGCAATGGACACATTCGTATTATCATTCCTCTATTGATATTCTGGCTTTTATGGATCGAGAAGAATGCTGCGTAGCATAAGAAGATCCACCTGGTGGCCAGACGTATCATTTGGAGGGTCTATCGCGCTATTAATTTTCTTCATATGGGAGGTCATTGTAAAGCTATTCATTGACAAGGGGACTTGATACTTGCAACACTCTTTAGCATTTTTGTGACTCTTCCTTCCCCACCACCACCTATTATGGTTGTTTGGCACACTTCATCAGTGAGATCGTACAAGATCAACGTTGATGAATACATCAAGGATGGATTTGACAGTGGTAGGGCATCATTAGGGATCATACTAGACGCTGCATCAAGGTATTCTCAGCATCATACGACCCATGTTTAATTCTGAAGGTCGAGATTAGAGTTGTACTGGATGGGATTCTATTGGCCAGAGGACTTGGACTTTCAGTCATTTGGATAGAGTCGGACTCTATTACGGCCATCCACTGCATCACCAGAGGTGGAGGACCATGGGCTATTTAGGATATACTCAGACAGATCACAGACATCATATCCTTCAACAGAGACATAGTTTCGCACATCTACAAAGAAGGAAACCAGGTTGCAGATGCTATTATTGCAGAAGGCTGGGATCATCGATAATATCAGGTTTTTGGACCAGTTGATCTACCTCGACATATTTGGGCACTCATACAGATTGACAGATATGGATTACCCAACATTAGAATTTGACATTTTATTCTTTAGTTGCTTTAATTTTTATTGTAAGGGAAGTAGTACTTTCTTATTTACTGCTTTACATTTGCTCTTTATCATTGGCTTTCTTTGTACAGAAAATAGTGCTTCCTCACTTATTGCTTTCATTTTTTTCACATGTAACCATGGTATTCCTCCGCCACAAGTGTGGGCATATTAATAAAATTAACAAAGGTACCGCCCTCCTTCAACTAAAAAAAACCCAAACCCCAATCCCTAAACCCTTACCCCTAAACCCTAAGCTAACATCATATACCTTTCTTGTTAGTTTTGTTTATGCTTTTCATACAATTATTAGCTGAAGGCCGCTTTGGAGAAACATTATAGATTTTCGTGCTAATGTTCATTGCCTTGGATGATTCTTGATAATTTCAACAACATTCTTGAATTTGATGAGAAAAGCAATGGTGTGAAGGTAACTCTTTTTGAAATTAAGGATTTTGCTAATTGTGGCCTTCATGTTGGTCCCACAGATGTGCGCTCCATTGGTTGTCTTTATACATGGACTAATAATTCGGTTTGGACCAAAATTCATAGGGTATGATGAATGATATTTGGATGCAAAATGGTGCATACAGACTTGCTAATTTTTTGCCTTCTAGATGCCTTTCCAAACACTCTCCATGCATTGTATCCATTTTTTATCATGAGGTAGGCACTAGGAAACCATTCAAATTTTTTAACATGTGGACAATCATGAGGATTTCTATGGACTTATTCAAGCAAGCTTGAATTTTGATGTGGTGGGGACAAAGCAATTTGTACTTTGCAAGAAGTTACACAAATTAAAAGGAGCATTAAAGAAGCTTAATGCTTCACACTTTGGGCACATTTCCACTAGAGCATATAAGGCTAAAGGAGATGTGGAGGCTACCCAACTCAAGCTTCATGATCAACCCATGAAAGAGCACTACCAACTTATGGTGGGAATATTAAGAAAGAAAGCTATGGGATTATGCGAAGAGGAATAAAGCTTTTATTATCAACAAGCAAAGTGTATTTTTCTTAAGCAAAGTGATAAGGTATAAAATTCTTTCACTTGGTGGTGAAAAGGAACACAAGAAGGAATTTTATTACTATTGTACTCAAAGAATATCGGATGTATACTACTTCACTAGACTAGATTGCTCAGGAATTTGTCCATTTTTACACCAAATTGCTTAGCATAATCTTCTCAGTTCAACCTATTAAGTTGGACGTTTTTAATAATGGTCCTTTGGTATCTTTGGAACAAGGCAACTCACTAACCTGAGACATTTCTAGTGAAGAGATCAAGGAAGCACTCTTTGGTATTAGAGATGATAAATCTCTAGGGCCAGATGGTTACACTTCATGCTTTTTTGAAAAAGCATGGGTATTATTGAAGATGATTTTGTGGAGGCTATAAAGGAATTCTTTTCATCAAGATCCATCCTCAAACAAATAAATCATGCTATCATTACTTTGGTGTCAAAGTCAAATCATACACTGAACGTTGGGGATTATAGGCCTATATCTTATTGTAATGTTATCTACAAATTGATTAAATAAATCCTTACTTCTAGATTGAGGCCTATTTCGAGTAGCATTGTGGACCAAGCACAAGCCACTTTTGTTGAAGGTAGAAGTATGACAAAAAATATCCATCTTGCCCAAGAAATCATGAGACAATTTAATAGAAAGAGGATTGCTCATAGATGCCTCTTAAAGATTGATCTAGGGAAAGCTTATAATTCGATGAGTTGGGATTTTCTAAAAGGAGTTCTTGAAGGGTTATGCTTTCCTACGAAATTTATACAATGGGTTATGAAATATGTTACTTCTTCAGCATATTCCGTAGCTTTGAATGGGAGTATACATGGCTTTTTCAAAGGTGGGAAAGGCCTCCAACAAGATGACCCTCTATCACCCTTCTTGTTTCTGCTTTATTTTGAATATTTTTCAAGAATGGTTAAGGCTACCTCTAATGATAGTGAATTCAATTATCACCCTAAATGTGGCCCCTTAAAGATTACTCATTTACCCTTTGCGGATGACTTGATGTTCTTTGCGAGGGGAGATGTTATGTCAGTGTAAATTTTAATGGGTTACCTTTCCAACTTTGGTCTTGCATCAGGTTTGAGGATAGACATTTTAAAATCTAGCATATTTATGACTGGAATCATGGGCAAGAGCTTGATGATATCCTTGAACTCACTAACTTCCCAAAAGATACGATGCCATTCTGTTATTTGGGTATCCCTCTAACTTCGGTGATGCTCAAATTTAGTTGTTATGCTCATTTTCTTGACAAAATTACAACTTATATTGGTGCTTCAAATTGCTCATCTCTATCTTATACGGGTAAGGTGGAACTAATTAGAGCGGTTCTTCAAGGTGTTGAATGTTTTTTGTTCTCTAATTTTCCTATCCCATCAAAAATTATTTCGAGAATTATTAGTCTTCGCCAAAAATTTCTTTGGGGCTCCAAGAAGCCTAGCTTGGAGGGATAATTGCCTACCGAAAGATGAAGGTGGCCTCGGTTTGAAGGACATGAAGAGTTGAAATTCAGCTTTACTTGCAAAATCTCTTTGGAATATTCATAAAATAAAAAAAAGGATACCCTTTGGATACGTTCGGTTAATCAATTTTATCTTAAAGGGGCTAGTATTTAGGATGTTTCACCAAAGAAAGACGACTCTTCTCTCTTCAAAAAGTTGCTAGAAATCAAGTATTCATTGTTGCAATTTGCTACAATTTTCCAGATTAATGCACAAAGACTGCCTGTGCAGTCCAGTCAGGACAAAGTAAGTAACAAGCATTTTCGTCCGAATTAAGCTATGTAGGTCAGCAGGATGCGGCTATTCAGGCTAATAGGGATGGCAATTCCAACCATTAAAATCGAAAATCGTGGTTAATCGAACCGAATGGGGCAAAAAAAATCGAACTAATCGTGCAATAGGATAGATATAGTATTTGATTTTAGTGACCCGGTTCAGGGGGGTGGGTATGGTATTTGCGCTGTTGACCCACCCCGAATCAATTACCCGTTAAAAAAATTGGGCAATTGGACTTTCCATTATTATTTCTATTATAATTTGTCTAGACCAAAATTTATGGCCCATTACCAACCCATTAAGTAACCTAACCTAGTTACCACTTACCCACTAAGTAATAACTCTACCACAAAGAAAATTGGAATCAAATTCAACAAAACATTAGTCGACGACCGTCTTCAATCGAGTCTCTACAGTGCGTACCCAAAATTTTTATCTTCTACTTGTCATATTCTTTCTTGCTCGCCATCACCATCCCCAAATAGAGGGGTATTTTTCTTCCTCTTCTCATTTGCAAGACTAGATGGAACTCCACGTATCTAATGATTCATACTGCTTTACTTTACAAAGAACTATTTTCCTCATCTAAGGCAAAGAAAGCCTCAGTACGGAAGTGTGCCCAATGAGAGTGATTAGAACTTGACTACGGAGATTTGTGATAAGTTGGAAATATTATAGAGGCGAGTGAATTATTTTCAGGTACAAAATATCCTACTACCAATCTGTACTTTCCAAATATTTGTGACATAAAGTAGGCAGTCCGTGATTTTGCATTTGAGAATTGGGATATTATTTGTATTTTCATTTGGGATGTTGTTTGCTACATTGACTTGGTATTATATTTTTGTTTTTATTGACTTTTTTTTCATAATTTTTTTTTAATTTAACGGTTGGACCTATAAAAATAATTTATTTTCGTAGTTATTAAAGACCCAAACCGAGTTGACTTACGTGGTTATGGTGCGATTGTGGTATGACTAAAAAATTGGTGGTTCAGTAACGGTTTTGGTTGAACTGATCCCGAACTGAACCGTTACCAACTCTACAGGCTAACACAACACCACAACCTGATATTAATCTCATTCAAGCAGCAATGGACAAATTCACAACCTGGTCGACAAGGCATATTTGCACTAGTAAGGCTTATGATTATTTTCGACCAAGAAGATTTGGGCAACTGATGTTTGGAGTTCTTGCATTACACCGAAGCACTCATTCATGCTTAGGTTAGGGATTCAATCCAAACTCCTTACTAAAAATAAATTGCAATACTTGGAGATTGACCGAAATTGTGTTATTTGTGGATGTATGGCGTTAACAGGCCAACACCTTTTCTTTGAATGTTCATTCACTTCGTCCTTATGGGGGAGGATCAGATAGTGGCTTGTATAAGAATATCTATGTCTATACTTGTTAGTGCGTTGAAGTGAATAAAAAATGAGGCTTGTGGAATATCGTGGCTTAGCAAGGCCGAGAGGATCGCTCTTGCAAGTACCGTTATTACATTTGGTTAGCTAGAAATAGAAAGATCTTTGAAGACCTTAGACCACACTTGGATTGTATTGTGAGATGAATTAAGACACACGTATACAAAATTATGTTCTCTTTGTATTCGTATGATTTAATTCATTTTGAGTCCTTAGTGTTGGGTCATTGACTTTTGTTGTACATCTTTTCTTTTTGTTTGCCCGGAGTAATTGTATGAAACATTTGTTTTGTTTTACCCGAGTATGCTTGATGTACTTGTACATGAAATTTTGATCAATGAAATTTTACATTTATCGATCCAAAAAAAAATTGTGCATTCACATCCAACATCCAAAACTTTAGAATTTGCTTGGGTTCCATTTTCGGAGGAAAATATTTTGTAATAGTGATTATTTTAGAGTGTTTAATTAAAAAGTGAGAAAAAAAATTTTGATTTACATGTAAAATTATTTTATTGAAAGAATATATTGATATTATAATTTTGAAGAAAAATGAATTTTTAAAGAATGGTGCTCAAATATGGACTTTAAACAGCATTAAGACTTGGAAGGGATGAATTGGCTCCATTTACGCACCACGCTTATATTGTCTCGAAGACTTTATCGTTTGTTTCATGTTATAGGAAGCCCGATTCTTAATCATGGCTGGAGACCGAAGTGTTAAAAAAAATTGATAAAAAAAAATGTTAAATATTAATTTATTATCTTACAATATTTCAGAAGACGATTCCATGAATTCGACTAAAAAATATAGAATTTGATCTGACCGAGCAAATATCAATTGATTCTCGTCTGAAAACCGGACCACAGATGTGATGCCATTGTACCAAGAGCGCATTAGATGAAAAGCGTAGACGTGGGAAGATCGACTACCAGCATATCACTCGCGTGGAATTCCAGGAACGTACAAGCCATGCATGTTCGCCACGTCTCACGCCACTCGTCCCATTACCTACGTATAGCTCCTTTTTTTTTAACCTTCATTACAAAAGCGGTTTCTCCACTGGAGCATAATATTCATTCTTTTAACGTTTGCAGAAACGATAATCGGAATAGAAATCTCTCTTCGTTTTGCCAAGACGCAGGCTTAATTTCCAACAAATATATAGGCGTTCATTATATCAATTATGGCTTCCAGAATCAATCAAGTTTTTGCACTTGTACTGGTGGTGGTGCTGCTAGGAGGCGCTGCTGCCACTGGTTGCGACGACAAATTTGATGTTTCCAAAGTAAAGTCTAAAAATGCTGGAGATAAGAAAGCGGAAAATGCCAAGGAAGCTAAGGACAGTTCGGAATCGTGGACTGATTGGGCCAAAGAGAAAATATCTGAAGGGTTAGGGCTAAAGGCTGAAGAGGCAAAGGATACTGCTGAGAGAATCTCTGATGCATCCATAGATGCTGCGAAAAGGAGCAAAGATAAGGTCACCGAAACAGCTAAAGGTAAGTAATTAAGTTACAAGGAAATTTATGACATATATTGTCGGTGTTAGCATGTCTTAAAATTTAAAAATCTGTGGTTTCATGAAACATTATATAGAAATTTTTCGGTGACTTGTAATCGAACGTTAGGAAATAATTTTTGGTAGATTTTAAGCTGCAGAAAGAGAAAGTGATTAATGGGAATCTATTTTGAAAAAAATTCAAGCTCTGTGCAACCTAAGCTATTATCTTCCAACTTAACTAGTTTATCTTTTCCATCTAAAATACATGATCAGGAGCGGGACAACACGGTGCCGAGAAAGCTGGGGATATAAAGAATGTAGCAAAGGAGAAAGCTACTTATGCCAAGGATATTATAGCCGACAAGGCAGCAGAGGTCAAAGATAAAGCATATGAAACTGCAGAGGCTGCAAAGGAGAAGACTACTCATGCCAAGGATACAATGGCCAACAAGGCAACAGGGGCCAAGGACGAGGCGTATGAGAACGCGGAGCAGGCAAAGAATGCAGCGAAGGAGAAGGCTACTTATGCCAAGGATATACCAGCCGACAAGGCAACAGAGGCTAAGGATAAAGCATATGAGGCTGCAGAGCAGGCAAAGAATGCAGCCAAGGAGAAGGCTAGTTATGCCTCCGAAAAGGCAACAGAGGCTAAAGACAAAGCATATGAGACTGTGGAGCAGGCAGAGCGGAAGGGCAAGGAAGCTTATGAGAAAACCAGCCAGACACAAGAGAAAGCGGCTGAGAAAGCAAAGGGAGTAGCCTCTGAAATGGGGAAGACAGCAGTGGATGAAACCAAGAAAAAAGAAGCCGAAGAGCATTTGAGTTGGGCCAGGGAGAAGGCAAAAGAGGGGTATGAAGCGGCCAAATCAAAGGCCGAAGAAACTTTGGAATCAGCCAAGGACACTGTTGCATCCAACCTTGAGGCTGCCAAGGAGAAATCACGTGAAGTAAAGGACAGTATTGCTGGTCAAATTCGGGATGAAGAACTGTGAATCGTGTTCTGTTTCTTTCTGCGTACATTCATGCATGTTATGTTCATATTAATGTTGTCAAGTACAAGTTAGTTTTTCCAACGTAGAAGGTAAACTTTTGCTGTTCCAGTTTGAATAAAATGAAGTTTCGGTCATACAAACTTCTGCAATTGAACTCTTGGCCGACAAATACAATGTTTGGTTACTCCTCATCAAGAATGATCGGCTTGAACCACTAAAGCAGGATCGGTCCTGTGGCCAGGCAACGAGGCCTGTGCCTCAAGCTCAAAACCACAAGGGTCTATTTTGGCCGAAAAGGGATTTTTTTTTTTTATATTAAAGGAATTCTTTTTTATATTAAAGGAAGAAAAAGGAAAATAGTTTTTTTTTTATTAATTGTGAGATGATTGAGATATTTGTTTGTTATTCTAATGTTGTTTTAAGTTAGCAATATATTGTGTAATACACGTTGAATTTTACATTTATGTTGATTTTGGGGGGTTTAATTTTTGAATTTCGTCTCGGACCTCGACAATCACAGGACCGATCCTACACTAAAGTATCTTATGTATTACTTGGAAAGTTGGACCAATAAAGTAACTTAAGGACCTATTGTTATTAATACTGTCAGAAAAAATTTTAAATTTTTAATAGTGTTAATCAACGAAGGAAAAAGTTATCAAAAAATAAAATATTTAAAAAACAAATTTGATTTTTAAAAAATTATTCGTATAGATACTATCACATTTTGTCCTTTGATATTGAACCTCATTAAGCTAACTCGTGAAAGACGTTGTCTAGTCAGTGATGAATTCAGGATTTTTAGTCAACATGAGCGATTGTCGAACTTCGACCGTCACCCTCAGTAAAGTATTAAGAGCATGTTTGATGTCCTTTTTTTGTTAGCAAAAAATGTATTTTGAAATAGTGATTTCATGGAGTACGTATGGTTAAAAATAAGGGAAAGTTTCGAATTTGCGTGTAATATTATTTTATTGAAGAATATATGATTAAAAATAAGATAGATAAAGATATATTTTAAAATAAATGAAAATAAAACAAGGTCTAGAATTTAAATATAACAATTATTTTGTTCATATTGAATATATATAATTATGTTATAAGAATAAATAGTATTCACCAAATGACATTGTTGCCAACTTTTGTATAATTTAAAGGAAGAGCACGATTTCAAATCTTTATAATTTCATTAAACTCAGTAAATGTGATATATATTATTTTGTTCAATTCAGTGTCAAGAGTCAAAAACTAAAAAATTCGCACAATTGGTTGTGAAGGGATTTGAACCTGAGATTTGCAATACGTAAATATAAGGTCTAACCATTTTAGCCAAAAGAGGCACTTGAAAAAAAGAAGAATTATTAGTAACATAAGCTAAAAATTTATCTATTCCAAATTTAAAAAAAAAAAGTGTTTCCTGCGGGGCTCATCAAGTGCTGGATACGCCATTGTGTCTAGCTCTCTAGCTCACTCGTGCAAGACGATGAACGAAAAGAAGCTCTAGGAGATATAAATCTAAAACTAATAAATAATAAATAATAAAAGAGGATAGTATTTTGTTCCATTGAATTGAACTTCTGTATTTAAACGAAATTGTAGATATGTTAGCTTGATGAGCATTAAGAAGGAATTTCTATAAACGTTATTTATTTTATTTTTGTGATAATATTTTTAAGCAACTACAGCCCCATAGGAGATGCTCATTCATTCGATGCCATTGTGTCTAGCTCTCTAGCTCACTCGTGCAAGACGATGAACGAAAAGAAGCTTTAGGAGATATAAATCTAAAACTAATAAATAATAAATAATAAAAGAGGATAGTATTTTGTTCCATTGAATTGAACTTCTGTATT